AATAAACTTCTGTCACTCTTTCTATTCTACTTTCATCTGCATTACTATAACTGCAGCCCTCATGGGCTAGTGCTAGTATTTGTGGCTGGCTTAAACATTAGCAGGTGGGCCCAGTGGGTAAATGGCTTCTAGGGTTCACTTCTGGTGTTTTATTCATTGGTTGCCCATCAGATACCTATTTTGGATTTTTTGGATGGTAGATGTAAAATAGTCTTAGGTATGAATCTTTAAGTAGAAGCTATCATCTATAATTTATGCATAAAATTTTTTAAGTGTTATTTTATGAATGTGTAGAAATAAATGATTTAAAAGAGACACTCAATTGAGATCTTTTTATCCTAACTGAAGCAAACATTTTTTAGATGTTTATTTTTTCCCTGAAATTTTTTTTCCACATCCTTACAATCCATAACCAAAATATAATAAAATGATTTCATGGTTGCCTTATCTCAAGACTATTTAAAAAATGTTACCTGAGAGATGAGGTGCTAAGTTCTAGGAGGATGGGGGGTCCATGTCTGTTCTTTAACTGATGTCATGTGAAGTGCTGGGCTTAGAACGGGAGCTCAGTAAACCCCTTTTGAATGACAAAAACTGACAAGGTGATCTAGATATTCAACTCTCCTTACTTCATTTTAAATAAGGGGTGATTGTGACAAGTTTTCCCCTGAAGAATCCGAATTATTATTTTGACTCTTCAATTTAGTAATATCACCCAGAGCTTAATGTGATTATTATAGGCCTAAAGTTTTTTCAGGAATTGGCTTCTAGAGGTAGTAATACTGTGATAAAGTTAAATAGAATGTTTTGCTGTAGGGCTTCCCAGAGCCATTCATGCTAATGTGCGTTCAGATTTCCTAATAAGCATTTCTCAAAGGTACATGACCCTGCAACCCCCCTTCCATGGAGCATTTGGGTTCTGTGAACTTTGGGAAAAGCTACTCTATGTTATATTTCACTTTCCCTGTCTATAAGGAAGCGCCACAATGATGTGCTTTTAGAGCTTGTTTATTTGTGAAATATAATCAAGATGTGTGTTTGAAAATCACTATATATATTGTTTAAGAATATCAGTCATAAATAACTTATAAAAAGGTTCGGATGAATAAAACTCTTTGATGATTAGGCAGTAAAATGTTGCTTTACCTTCTGAAACTCCACTTTTCCGGAAGTTATATGTTGATAAGTCTTTAAGTTTTTCTTTTTATTTTTTCTCTATTCTAGATTAGTGTGTTGAGTTTCTGAGCCATGTGCATTTAGTATCTCAACATCCATATATCACATTCAGCCATATCAGGACTTGATATGGATTTCCATAGTCCTCCTTACACATATAAGGTTTTAGTCATTTATCTTAATGTTAGATATTTTTTAAAAAAGAAAATGACAATATTTCTTCCCTCTGAATTCTTTGGACTAAGGCAGTTGGAAAAAAAATGCAGTAGACATGGTAGCCATTTTGCTTGCTTTTAATTTTTTTGCTTATATTTCCTCAGTCCTTCTCTGGCTTGGCATTTTGAATAACTTCTTGGGCACAACCCCAAACCATCTGATATATCTGTATTTTTTGGTTTGGTTCTTTGAATCCTGATGATATTTTCCTACCTACTTTTCTCTACGCTTATGATGTGAGGCATGAGTTCTGTTGCCCTTGAAATCGACTTTTTATATAAGAACAGGAATATAGCTGGGCACAATGGCTTACACCTGTAATCCCAGCACTTTGGGAGGCTGAGGTGGGTGGATCACTTGAAGTCAGGAGTTCGAGACTAGCCTGGCCAATATGGGGAAACCCCGTCACTACTAAAAATACAAAAATTAGCTGCATGTGGTGGCACAGACTGGTAATCCCAGCTACTTGGGAGGCTAAGGCATGAGAATGACTTGACCCTGGAAGGCAGAGGCTGCAGTGTGCCGAGATCGCACCACTGCACTCTAGCTTGGGCAACAGAACGAGAGAAGAAAGAAGTTTGTGAGGAAAAAGAAGGGTGTTGCTTAATTTGAGAAAATTAATAAAAGTAAAAGAGGTTTTCAAACTATGTTTCACCATTTGGTGAAATTTTAACTTAGATGTCAAGAAGCTTTGCTGTATTAAGAAATTTTCTATCTTAACCCAGTTCTGATCTTTCTTTAGCAGTATGTAATTCTTAAATCCAGTGAAAAGTTCCTTCTAAGCCATTTATTTAGAAGTTGGCAATTGAGGTCCTTGCTCACTAAAGCCTCAGGAGTTTACTGAGAGGAAAACTGAGCCTTGTGAGGAAGCAGAGTCATCTCTTCTTGCCTCCATGAGTGGGAGTTGGAATTCTACCAAGTGTTATGAAAAAATTAAGGTCTAAGATGTGAAGACTTCAAAGTGTGTTGTGCCACACACACATGCTACAAATATGTTTACATAGGTATATAGATATACATACATACATGTTAACATGGTCACTTAGATTTGAATTGAAAATCCTAGGAAATTTTATATAGGAAGATCTGGGATATTAGCCCTTACCTTCACACTTACTTTACAGTTCAGTTCTTATAAAGATTGTACTTAGCTATTTGTAAACTCCTAAATATTACACTCAGGTATTTCTAAAGCTTATCAACAGCCAATTTGTATCTCAATAGAAGAAATTATATCATACTGATTAAAGTTTTAATTGAAATATCTTTTTGTATGTTTTAAGGTGAAAATATAATCTTAAGGCTTTCATAGGAATGAGTACAAATGTTAATAGTAGGTATATCTGAGTGGTGGGATTATGAATAATCATAATTATCTATATAGCTTTTCAATTTTTGTATATTGAGTCTTTCTTGATTTTGTAGCCTGAAGCATGTTGATTTGAAATGACTCATTTATTTGGAAAGTCTCTTATCAACTTCTAGAAGTTGTTTCTCCATAGCACTTCCATTATTATCTTTCTTTTTGTCTATGGAGTTTTCATAGAGACCCAAGTAAGTCTCTAAGTATCGCTCCCTGTATTTGTGAGCTTGGCTGTCTTAGCAAAGTACCATAGACTGGTTGGCTTTAATAATGGAGATTTGTTTTTCTCACAGTTCTCTGGAGGCTAGAAGGCTGAGATTAGGGTGCCAGCATGATAAGGCTCTGGTGAGGACTCTCTTCCTGGCTTGTAGACAGCTGCATTCTCCCTAAGTCATTTCTGGTGGAGAGAGAATGAGCAGGCTCCCTGGTGTCTCCTCTTATAAGGGCTCTAATCCCATTACCAGGGACATACTCTCCTAGGCTCATCTAGTCCTAATCATCCACTAAAGGCCCCATCTCTAAATACTATGGCATTGAGGGTTAGAGTTTCAACAGACACATTTTTGGGAAACACAACATTCAGTCCATAACACTTTTTAAAATTTAAACTGGTAGCATACAAGATTTCCAGAAATGGCATCTAAATAGAAAAATACTGGCCGAATATACATAAAAACATTAGCGATAGTTATTTCTAGACAGTAAGATTAGAGGAAGTTTTCTTCATTTTCTTTGAATTCAAAGTCTATTGCTTTTACAACTGAAAAATAAAATAGGTACTATTTTTAAAGGAAAATGAAATACTATGGAATGTTCCGTTTTCTAATAATCTTGGAATTTTCAAAATCTTTTTATTTCATCTCTTAAAGTTTTTCTGAGAATTAATAAAAGTGTCTACAGAACTTAGAGTACTCACTTCTTGGCACATAATAGAGTTGCATAAATTTGCTTCTCCTCTTTTTCCTCCTTTTAACATGATGACAATGTTAATGATAATAACAATGGTAATTATTATATTTCCATAGGAGATATGCCATTGGGCATATAATATAAGAAAATAGACAATAGCCATAAAGTCAGGACAAACACATTTGTTGCAAAGTGTTTAAAAATGAGTTGCTTCTAAATAGAATAGCCTATTAATTTTCTTTACTTTTGGAATTCTGAGTCTTTTTGATTCTGAGGAAATGAATTGTTTTAAAAAATTGGTAGATTGTTCTGTGTTAGCATTCAGTTCCAAATTTAATATGAGCTCCTTAACTCTGTGTGATAAAATGGTGGGCAGATGTGACACTGAGAAAACCTGAAGTCAGTTTTTCATGTGTGATACTTTCATTCCAAAGACCAACTGAAGCCTACTACTGTTGTGGAAAATTTTTTGCCACTTTTTGTTTGTTTTGGTTCCCCTGTGAGAGCTCTCTCTTCAGGACTTTCTAATGCATTGTTTCTCATGCTCTTTCTTGGGTATAGAGTCTGTCATTGGTAACTTTTCCCAATTAATTCCACATCTGAGTGTAATATTTCTAGTTGCTAGCTCCGTAAATCAATAGGTTGAAATGCCCTGCAAGGTAGTCATGTGTTTTGTAACATAGGGACCTGACTGCTCGCCAAATGAATTATAACATTGTGATGTATTATTTCCAATCACTATAAATTTTCAGTATTTAGTGTATCAGTCATACTAAGTCAAGATTCAGCTATTTAGTTTCACTTATGTCTGTATTTTAGATGAGAATCCTTTTTCCCATTAGTAGATTTGAATTTCTTTCCCTCTCAGAGTCAAATTCCAAGCATACCTTACAAAAATCAGCCATAAAATATACACATAAACTATTGTTTGTGTTTATAAGTGGATTCAAAAATATATACTAGTTAACTGTATCCCAAATTAAAATCTGTTCACTTACATGGTGTTCTATTTTGTTTTTTAACACTTAGATTACTTTTATCACTGTTGCTTTGGTAATTTGATTCCCAGATATTAGACAAACATATTCAGGTAATTCTCTGTATAGTATTTACACATGATCTTGATTGGGAGCTTAAACCATCATCTCACAAATGATCCTCAGCTGTGAAAAAAGTAAATTGTCCTGAATTCAGGGCTATATATATATATTCGGTGCTAACACCGTGGTTAATGTATAACAGCACTACTAAAATTACTTTCTTAAATTCTGTTTTGATGATCATAAAAATAATTTTTATTCTTTATTTTTATTTTTCTTTTCTTCTTTACCAACAGGACACAAAAATCGCTTCATTGGAGCGAAACATAAGGGATCTTGAGGATGAGATCCAGATGTTAAAAGCCAATGGTGTGCTGAACACTGAGGACCGTGAAGAAGAGATCAAACAAATTGAGGTTTACAAAAGTCACTCCAAGTTTATGAAGACCAAGGTACGGTCCAGGGTTATAAACTTTTATGTTCTTAATGTGACTAGAAAGTTACGGTCTACATACATACTTTTTTCAAATACTCATATAATATGCTTTATGTGATATTATTTAATATATGGACAAAAAAGGAGAATGCGTAAGATTTTTGTTTCAGGCATATAGCTTCCAAAAAGCAATCAGGGAAAGCCTTTGGTGGAATTTCTCCTTACTGAGAGGTTCAGGCTTTAATTAGGAGTTCCTTTGGTGTTCCTCTTTCTTGGTAATTAACATACTTGTAGTCCACTCTCTTCCAAATTTCCACCATCATTATAAGTTTGCTATTTTTTTGAAGTTGCTATTGTTGCCAAATTTCTTGAGTCTCTTAGAAGGTGATTGTCTCAAAATATATTGTTATTATAAGCCAATTTAACTTCTTTAAATGTTATTAGGTTGGGAGGCAGAGGTGGGCAGATCAGCTGAGGTCAGGAGTTTAAGACCAGCTGGCCAACATGGTGAAATCCTGTCTCTACAAAAAATACAAAAATAAGCCATGCATGGATCTCAGCTGCTCAGGAGGCTGAGGCAGGAGAATCACTTGAATTCAGGAGATGGAGGTTGCAGTGAGTCAAGATCATGCCACTGCACTCCAGCTGGGGCGACAGAGCAAGACTATATTTTAAAAAGAAAAAAAGTTATTAAGCTCTTTTGGTTTTAGCATAGCATTTAAGACATAAATAGTTTTGAGTCCCAATGCTACCATTTAGTTAAATCGTTAAACTTCCCTAAGCCTCAGTTTCTTTATCCATGAAATAGGGCTAAGAAAAATACCTACATTATTGGGTTGGTCTCATGATTCCAAGAGATTATTCATTTAAAGCCCTTAGTCCCTTGTCTGAGCTCTAGAAAGTATCCATCAAATGTCAGGCATTGTTCTTGATAATAGTATTAATATTATTATTGTTATCTATTGCTATAGAATCTTTATAAAATATTTTTGAGTAACCTGCTCTATTAGTTTATATTGTTATTTTCAGTTTTAAAGATTTTGGCTTGTATTTTTCAAAAATAAACTTGGGGCTTTAAATGGACCAAGCACCTGAGTATGTATTATTTACACATATGCATAATTATTAAATTTATGAATAGCCCAAATAGGTCTTTTGAGACGGAGATACTTTTATCTCTTCCTCTGTTTAAGTCATTTTCCTTCTGAAATTAATAGCCATATCAATTAAAAAATTTTTTTTCTTTTTTTTTCTACCACTTCTCTTAAATATGCCTGTTCTCTTGTTCTAGGTTTTAATCTTGTTTGTTGCTTTATGAAGTGCAGCAGAGTTAGAGTATGCAAACCTCTGTGAGAAAGCAGTGGGAGAGGAGAGAAAAATGTTTAAATGATTTTTATCAGTTATGAAATATGTACATACTCCTTGCTGAGTTTGCAAATTATAGGGAGGAAATAATGATATCTATCTAGCATTTACTTAACCATGATGTGTGTGTGTGTGTGTGTGTGTGTGTGTGTGTGTGTGTGTATACATGCATGCATGTATTTTTCCTTAAGGAGAAAACACAAAACTGCTTACTTCTGACAAGTTTCCATCTCTAACCAGATGTTGAGATTGTGCTGAAAATGTGGATCAAGGTGTTGAGATATGAGGGGACTGTCCAGTGGATTTGAAGGAAACCAGGGACTGCCTCAAAATGCAGAATGGGTTTCCCTGCTCAGTCCGTCCTTCTGGTTTGTTTCTTGCAGTCCCTCTCTCTCAGAGAGTTGAGCCGAGGTTCGGCAATCACTGTACTAGGGTGACCTGCAGACAGTGCCCAAATCATTCTGGGAATGAAGACCAGAGGCACAGATACAAGTGAACTCAAGAAGTTTGGGGGAAATTATTGTTTTGGCTTAAACATTTCCTTCTGACTCTGTTATTCCACAATGGGAGATTGTTCAAGCCACTTCTATAGCTGAAAATGTCATGAAATTTGTATAGTCGGCCCCTCATCATGGACTCTGTCCAGGTGAATAAAACATTTATATGATCTTCAGCAAGTCATGACCTTTATTAGCCCACATTTGTCTGAGACCATCAATCCTTGAGTTAGATTTAACTTTTAATGGCTGGTTACTTTTAATGGTTCCAAAAGTGGTCAGGTCAGAAGAATGTTTAAGGAAACTAGTGGAGTGAGGTGGAAAGAGTGCAGACTGAAGACAAGAGCAGACTCCAGCAAGTCTCCAGCCTCCCTTTGCCAGCTGCATAGGGAGTGACTTGAGGAGCGACCAAAGTCACTCGACCACACTTTCTTCTATAAAATAGGAGCAATAGCAACAACCTTATAGGATGATTCAGATGGACTAGATGAAGATTAAAATGAAATATTGTGGTTAAAGTATCTGGCTCAAAAAAGTAGCTTATTATTATAAACATTATTATTAAAGAAGTATAACCAAATAATAAGTGTTATGTTTAACTTGACTAATGGGAAAAATGGATTTCTAAGAAATACAAATAAAAAGAATTCTTATAATGTTATGCACCTACCCCTTTTACTGTTAAAAATTAGCTAAAATGTACTAGTGAGGGTCAATTTTTAATATTTTCTTCATTGAAAGAATGTTCTTATTGGATTGAACTATAACATTTATTGCTAATGTTTCCTATCATTACTTTAATTACTTATTTTTCTTAATTCCCTTGTTTTTTTTTTCTTCTTTTTTTTTTTTTTTTTTTTTTTGAGACGGGTCTCACTCTGTCACCCAGGCTGGAGTACAGTGGTGCGACATTGGCTCATTGCAGCCTCCACCTCCCTGGTTCAAGCAATTCTCCCACCCCAGCCTCCTAAATAGTTGGGATTACAGGTGCACATGACCACACCAGCTAATTTTTGTATTTTTTTTTTTTCTTTTGGTACAGATTGGGTTTTACCATGTTGGTCAGGCTGGTCTTGTACTCCTGAGCTCAAGTGATCTGCCTGCCTCAGCCTCCCAAAGTACTGCAATTACAGATGTGAGCCACCACACTCAGCCCAATTCTCCTACTTTGAGTGAAGAGTGTGATTCCTCATTTAAGCCTGGGAATGCTGCTTGCATTACTTATTAAAATGAATAAATCATGTAGATTGGAGGGAAAGGAAGTATTTTAAATAGCCATGTGGAAGGAGGTACACTTCCATTTTGATACAGAGCAAGTAGTTGGAATTGGTAGGGTCTCTTGAAAGCTCTGTGGTTAAATTAAATAGCAATGAATGCCTGAATTGCTTTTACAAATATGACATCATAGAAAAACCATGATATAACATTTTTGGAAAGGTAGAAGGTAGGTTGCAAAACTCAGCTTGTGTGAAGGCAGGAATACTAAACATAGTCAGCCAGGGTAGAAATATTGGCATCTTGGAAGTCCTTTGGCACAGGAACATTGTCTCTGAGAACTGAGCCTCTGGGAGATCTCAAATGTGCAACTCTCCCCTGTTGGAAACTCCAATTCCTACCCAACACTGAAGGGTTAGAGGAATCAGACTGTGAGAGCTGAATCTCAGAGGCCATGGAAAGCATGAATTACTTTCAGGAGCTCTATGAAGCCTCAGCGAATGGAACATACCAAATACATAATTGTTTTTCTGGTAGCGAAAGAATAATGGCATTTCCTTTCTGTACAAGACTTTGTTCCTAGTCTAACACATTTTTCATCTACTCATTCCAGTATTTCTATATTAGCTGCTCCCTCCGTTTCCAGTGTTTGCCAGAGACGCTGATCTGCTGTCTTAGATCTCCTCCTTTATTCTGAATTTGTAACACATTTTCTTATAAACCTCTGATAGATTACAAACCTCATGACCCAAACTGTATGATAGTAAGCATATCACTTTCTAGACATGAGAGCCATATCTGTAGTGAAAAAGAAGCTGTTTTCCTTGGCAGACTGTTTTTTTCAGGGTGTAGGTTGTGTCACAGATGGAAGTGGGGGAAGAATTTTCAGACGGGATGAAGTGTGCCTGATGTCCACATGGACTTCATATAAAGCATGTGATGTAATTCCACTTGGCTTTTCTTCTGGCCATCACAGAGACAGACCTTCCCTGGCCTCAGTTCTCATGTATGTTCGATTGCATCACTTTCCATTTTTATGGAATTTATGGCTGTAAAAGAAGCAAAAGGCATATTTTTATGGGAGAATATGATTTTTTTTACCCTGTAACTGTATTCCCCTTAGAAAAGCCTTTTTCTGTTATTGTCTGCATAAATGTTTATTTAAAATTTGCCTTATGGCAGCAATATTTGAAAGCTATTTAGAGTCACTGCCTATTTAATATTTATAGACTAAAATAGTTTTATCATTATCAATCTACTTTTATTGAATAAAGGAGGTATATGCAGAGCCTGCCATGCCCTTCCTCCTGTCTAAGCCCCATTCTCTATATCCAGTTTATTTCCTTTACGTTTCCCTCTCAATACCCCAACCCCCACACTAGCTTTCTACTGTGGTATTTGTGGAAGTTAGTACAAATCAGTTTTTTCACTATAAACATCATCTTTGCTTAGGTGTGTAGAATTGAAAGTTTTTGAGGGTTAGTTTCAGATGAATCAGTTTCACATGTGGAATCAACTATGAACTGTGCTGTCAACTACAACTGGATACGATTTGGGGCCATGCCCCCCACCCTGAAAAGAGTGCTGATCATGCTGATCATAACAGATTTTAATGTCTTTTATCATTTTAAGTAATCCTAATTCTGATTTTCCCTCTTTTTATTTATACTGTATTCTTGTTACATCTCAGAGAGAACTTCTTATTTTTGTTCCACATAAAAATGACTGTAGACTCATGATTCATTAAGTTATAAAGAAATAATGTGTTTCAGAAACTGCACATACCTGAGCAGTGCTCACTTGCTCGCATATACCTGAGGCATGTTGATAAGCAGTCACGATTTTTTCCCAGTGAATCCTTATGCATACTCAGAAGCCTTCTCAAGACCATTTTTTGTTTAGCCACTACCAGTCCCTTAGATCTGGCTAGCAAGATGAAGCTTGTTTGTTCCCTGATGTAGTCTGACTTCTTGCAAATGGAATTTCCATTCATATAAGTTGTGCAACCTGAACTCTTCTGAACATGGGAGTCTCACTCCTGTTCATGCTCACCTGATGTTGTCAGTAGCTTGTTATTGTTTATGTCAGTTTTCTTGTTGAAAACAACAAAAAATGCTGAAGGAAATTGTATTTTTTAAACATACATTTTAAAATGTACATGAGCTCTTGAGTAAGAAAGAACCTCAAGGGTCAAAGCTAAGCCATAGCAGGAGCTTGTATGATAAGTAGAGTGTGGGTTATGTATTAGTCTGTTCTCATGCTGCTAATAAAGACACACCCAAGACTGGGTAACTTATAAAGGAAGGAGGTTTAATGAATTCACAGTTCTACATGGCTGGGGAGGCCTTACAATCATAGCAGAAGGCAAATGAGAAGCAAAGTCATGTCTTACATGGCAGCAGACAAGAGAGTGTGTGCAGGGGAACTACCCTTTATGAAACCATCAGATCTCATGAGACTTATTCACTATGATGAGAACAGCATGGGAAAGACCTGCCCTGCCCCCATGATTCAATTACCTCCTGCTGGGTCCCTCCCATGACACATGGGAATTATGGGAGCTACAATTCAAGATGAGATTTGAGTGGGGACACATCTAAACCATATCAGGTTATTTATTCTTGTTGGCAATTTTTAGATAGATGAACTTGAGCCCTGGTTTTCATAGCCACAAGGACATTGAAGAAAAGAGACAGAAGTCTGGCCCTACTCAAGATGAGGCATAGTAGCAACCTTACTGCCACCACCAAATAAAGCTGGGATTCCAGACAGCTATACTGCTACTGTAGAGGCAAACTAAGAATAACCTTACCATATTCCCCCTTCCTCACACTCAGGGGACTCCAGGGAAAAATTTCTGTCTTAAAGCTTTGAGTCAAGTAAAAGATGAAAAAATTGTCCTCAGAATCCATAACCACAGCTGGCTCTTGCATGGATGTGCTGTGCAAGATGATCTAAAAACTTCAGATAGAGAATGTAGCTACATTCTTGGTTGATAGGGCCCCCAGCTATTGGCAGAGGCAAATTCTCTAAAGGACCATATAGGGCTTAAAGCATTTTTCCAGGTAAAGTTCCCAAAAAAACCCAGTATACAGTACAAAAAAAGAGAGAAAAATCACAAAACCTGAAAGAAAACAGGCCACCATAAGTGATAGCCAGTAGAAAGAATAAATAGCAGAATCAGAAAGCAAAGACTTTAAAAGTTCGAATTATAAGAAAAAGACTATGAAATATTAAGTAAATGTGTTTAATATGTTTAAATAAATAAGAGATTGGAAATATGAGTAAAGAGCAAGAGACTATAAGAAACATGGCAAATTTAAAGAAAACCAAGTTAAGCCTTATAGTCTGAAGGCTTATCCTAGGACTAAAACAAGGCTGAAAATTAGTGTGATAAGCATCCAACTTAAAAAGTTAGGAAAAGAAAACAATAAGCCCAAAGAAAGTAGAAGGAAAGAAATATTTAAAAATAGCAGACATGGATGAAACAGAAAGTAAAAGTGTAATTGCATGATCAGTATAGCCAAATTGGCTCCTTGATACTTAACTTGACATACCTCTGCTGAGATTCATCAGGAAAAAGACTAGTTAAAGCTAAAATAAAACTTTTAAAAAGTAGAGGTTAATAATGTAGAATATTAGAATGAAAAGGAAGACACAATCATAGATACTATTTATTTAAAGATAGGTGGGTTTTATAAAAATTTCATGCAAATAAGTGTTAAAATTTAGATGAAAAATTCTTTGGGAGAAAAAAATGTATCAATACTGACTCAACTAATTAGAAACTTGTATATTCCTGTACCCATTAAAAGTGGATTAGTAAGTAATGTTCTTTGGAAAAAGAAAATAGCAGCTCTGAATGGTTTTGCTGGTGATTTCTAATGAATATTAATGTAAAAAAATTTCAATTTCACAGAAACCATTTCTGAACACATTAAAAGAAGGAACACTTCCTACTTCATTTGGAAGGCTAAATTGATATTAAAACCTGAAAAGAACAGTATAGGATAGGAAAATTATAAACCAATCTCAGTTATACACATGAATTAAAAATCACTACAAAATATTGGCAAGCGGAATCCAGTAACATAAAAAAATATGTAATAGAGTGATACCCAGAATGGGATTGCAGGGTCAAATGGTATTTCTATTTCTAGGTCCTTGAGGAATTGCCACACTGTCTTCCACAATGGTTGAACTAGTTTACACTCCCACCAACAGTGTAAAAGTATTTCTGTTTCTCCACATCCTCTCCAGCATCTGTTGTCTCCAGATTTTTTAATGATCGCCATTCTAACTGGCATGAGATGGTATCTCAACGTAGTTTTGATTCGCATTTCTCTAATGAGCAGTGATGATGAGTGTTTTTTCATATGTTTGTTGGCCTCATATATGTCTTCTTTTGAAAAGTGTCTGTTCATATCCTTTGCCCACTTTTGGATGGGCACATATACACCATAGAATACTATGCAGCCATACAAAACAATGAGTTCATGTCCTTTGTAGGGACATGGATGAATCTGGAAACCATCATTCTCAGCAGACTGACACAAGAATACAAAATCAAACACCACATATTCTCACTCAGGCAGGTGTTGAACAATGAGAACACGTGGACACAAGGAGGGGAGCATCACACATTGGGGTCTCTTGTTGGGGGCTACGGGAGGGACAGCAGGAGGTGGGAAGGATGGGGGAGGGATAACATGGTTAGAAATGCCAGGTATAGGTGATGAGGGCATGAAGCCAGCAAACCACCTTGCCATGTATGTACCTATGCAACAGTCCTGCATGATCTGCACATGGCCTCTAAATCCTAAAGTAAAATTAAAAAAAAAAAAGTAATGACAGAATGGGTTTTTTCCAGGGGGGGATTAAAGTTAAAAATTTCATTAATGCAACTCATTGCAATAACATATAAGGTTGAAAGATGGTGATAAACCATGAGATACAGAAAAAAAAAATGTTTGGTAATGTTAAACATTCACTAATGATTAAAAAATACTTTTGGCGTAGTTGTGATAATGCAAAGCCTAATAAAATGTCTATAAAAAAACCCAGTGCAAACACAAAATTTAATGCTGAAGCACTGAAATTCTTCCCTTTAGTACCTGAAACAAGACAAAGGGGCCGACATGACCACCAGGCCTCTCTATCTTTATGCATGGCCTGTCCATATGTCTGGTATGGTCTTCCTCACAGCATGGTGGCCACAGCGTGGTTGAGCTTCTAGAACGTGGTGGCTGGCTTCCAGTGGGTAGAAGCATAAACTGCCAGTCCTCTTGTAGGCTGGGGCTAGAACAGGTATGCTGATTATTTTGCTGTTGGCAGAAGGAAGTCACAGTCTAGCCCAGGTTCAAGAAGAAGTTAAACTTCAGCTCTAGCTGTGAGGAGCAACATTTGTGTACAAGTAGGAAGGAATTAGTAGATGATATCTCTGCAGGTAATCTACCTGCACAACGCTATCAAATTGGCAAAAATGTAAAAGACCAGTGACATAAGTTATTGGTAAAGAAGTGGAGTGATTGGCATACTTGCAAGGTGCTCGTGATCATGTAAATTAATAGAACTGTTTTGGAAAACATTTTTGTTTTATCTAGTGTAATTGAAGATGAATATGCTATGTGGTTCAGCAATTTAAATTTTAGGCATTAGAGAATATTATTGCTATGTGAAACAGGTTATATGTATAAGAATGTTCAGAATAGTACTCTTTATAGTAGCAAAAACCTAAGAATAAACCCAAATTTCTATCAACAGCAGAATGGACAAGTAAATTGTGATGAAGTCTTTCAATGGAATACTCTACTTCAGAGAAAATGAATGAACTCTGTACAACATTTTGATTTAATCTCCAGGACATGAGATTGAGTAGGAAAAAAGCAGAGTTGTAAAAAAAAAAAAAAAGTTTGTATCCCAAATAAGGTTTAAAAACATGCAAAACCAAGTAGTATATTACTTATGGATGCAAAAATATATGATAAGCCTAAGAGGCAAGGAAAGAAATGATAAACACAAAATTTGAGGTGGTAATTATTTCCAAATGGGAAGAGGAGATAGAAATGGTATGGGACATAGATAATTCTAGTGATCTTTTTTGGTGAATTGAATGATGGATTGTTTTTGCCATTTTATCTTATACCTTATGTATATTTTGTATTCTTTTGTATCTTCTCAATATTTAATGTAAGCAAAAGAAGATCCCCAATTCTTTCTTTCTTTTTTTTTAGGATTCTTTTGTCAGATGATGCCCTTGAACAATTATTCACACTGTGGAATTATGCCTTGATTTAATTACCCATGTTAGATCCCTGTTGACTCTCCTCAGGACCATGGTGGTAATAGACTTGGTGGTTTCATAGATGAGTAGGTTTGGCCAGGAAGGCTTCATTCCATTGTGAAATGTGGTCCACAGTGGGATGGGAGGCAGTCTGTTGACCTTCCCATTCCTATTTCCTATACTCTCAGCAACTTTTACAGATTTTCCTCTAGATCTCAAAGACTGTGTGATTCCCAAGCTCATCTTTTTAAGAAAACTCATGGCCTGCCTTGTTGGATTATTGATCACTGGCTGCTGAAATGGAAAGAAATCAGTTGTTGTCCAATGTAATGTGTAGGGGCAGCAATTTCTAATTTCTTTGAATTTTGTGGTTTTGCAGATCGATCAGCTGAAGCAGGAACTTTCAAAGAAGGAGTCAGAACTTCTTGCCTTACAAACAAAGCTTGAAACTCTTAGCAATCAAAATTCAGATTGCAAGCAACACATTGAAGTGCTCAAAGAGTCGCTTACTGCCAAAGAACAGAGGGCTGCCATCCTTCAGACTGAGGTAAGGCTCTGTCTCAGGATTCTGTACAGCAGAGACATTGAATTGATAGAAAATGCCCTTCCTGAACAAATTTCCTCAGAAGGCCCGTTATCCAAACCCTTGGGGACAGATGTATTTTGAAATTCATGTTTGTTGGGCTTTCAGAAAGGCGAGATGCATTGTATAGATTGTGTGACACTGCAAGTGAAATTGTAGCAACACCCCATAAGCAAACACACGAATATTTCTGCAGAAAAAAAATTTCTCATACTAAGTAGGATAAATAAAGACTGTATAACTAGACTCTTGTCAGTTTGCGTGATGTTGTGCCACCAAAGGTGTTTGGTTCACACTTGGAATTTCTTTTTTTCGTTCTTCAGAGCATTTTGGATTTGGTAACCATAGTTAAGGGCTTGGATCTAGAATGATTTCATTTTATCGAAAATCATAAAATAACTGGAATGTCATCTGCCCTACTTTGCTGTGCATCATCTGCATGGGTTCCCTTTCTGGCACCCGTGTTTCCAAAGGTTTCTTATTTACTAGGGAATATCTTCAATTTCTTTTACCCATTGGAGAAAGTTAATATTGTGTGAGTTTCTCAAAGGAAATACTGGTTTGTTATCTCTTATTCATGCTTAGAAGAACAACAAAAATATGTTACTATCCTATTTTCCTTTTTGGATTATATCTTTGGGTCTGCTAAGAAATGCAAAACACAAGCTAGTTATTGTGTAAATAAAATAGTTGTCAGATGCAGCAGGCAGTAGGGAAAGATGTGGTGAATCTCCCTGATTTTGTATTGAGGCAGTGTGCTGTGTGCATTACTTTAGAAGGCATTCTAATCAACATGCATGTTCTCTCTTGGACTCTTTGAACTGTGTCTTTGCATGTATATATTTTAGCATCTGTGGGGAGGTTTGGATTTGTCTTAGGAGTTAATGGGACTGTTGAGTAGGTCTGTGCTCTCAGTCAAGGTTCAGGACAGTGTCCAGAGGAGGAAGAAAACATGGTCCAGATTGGATGGGTCTTAGCATGAACCTGATTCAGCCCCTATGCCTTTGACCATTGGCTGATAGGCAGTTACCTGATTGCTTTAATTCAAAACAATCATCTTGGCCTCAATGATGTAGATATTTCACATTTAAGAAATATCATTTTCAGTTGTGTATTGTTCCACTGTGAATGCAAAGATATGGATATTTTATTTTTTAAGACAAACACTTAATCTATACTATAAATTGGAAGTTGGGTTGTATCTCCTTTGAGGAGGCAGCAGTGAATAGTGTCTAGAACTGTGTTTAGACTGTAGTCACATGTGGCTATGTAAACTGAAATTAATTAAAATCCAGTGAAATTTAAAATGTAGTTCTATAGTCACATTAGCCACATATCAAGTACTAACAGTTACATGTGGCTAGTGGCTATTGTGTTAGACAGCACAGCTAGAGAACATTTCTATTGAGTACTTGTCTCAAATGGGGGTCAACCAAAACTATGGCTTATGGGCCAGATCTGGTCCTGTGCCTGCTTTTGTAAATCAAGTATTATTGGAACACGACCATACCCATTTATCTACATGTTGTCTTTGGCTGCTTTTGTGCTACAACAGCAGAGTTGAACAGTTGCAATAGATATTGTATGGCCCACAAAGCTGAAAATATTTACTGTCTGGCTTTTTACAGAAAGTTTGCCAATTTCTGGCATTGTGATTTTGTGGGAAGAGGAATGAGTGGGCATTAGAATGCCCAGCTAGTCTTCTCTCTGGCTGTGGTACTCTAAATGGAGCAAGAGAGTTTGCTGACCGCTGTTCTAGAGCACAAATTTTTCTTCACTGTATTATTCAAAAAGCAACTGCTTGTACCCATGTTTTGTCTCTAATGCCAGGATTACCAGTACGGTTAGTGTAATACTGTTACTGTGTGTCGTTGGGTAGGAGAGAATTTGAGAAGCAAGGCAGTCTGCTTGCCCAAACCAGCGGTCAGGTTTCTTGATGGTTCCTCCACAGGGAAAATGAATGAGAAGTCAGCTCAGAGAGGCTTTTCCTCTCACTATCTTGTACTGATGGGGGCTTTATTCCTTGGCTTCTTTCCTTTCTCATTCGCCTCCCTATATTTTACCTCTCTCAAATTAATGTAGTCCAAATTAGACCTATAGATATTTCATGAAAAAGGCAGTGATGACATTATATGGATAGCTTTCATCCCACTTTCAATTATTAAAATTACCCAATAAAGGATGGTGATTTAAAGTAGAAAAAAATGATTCTCCATGTGCAGAGAAAGTGAGATGATTTTCTAAGTCTTCTGCTTTGAACTTGGGAGTGTGAGATTACTGATTTTATCAGCTGGAAATGGCTAAGGAATTTTCTTTTGCCTTTTTTTTTTTTTTTTTCTTATAAGATCTCTTTGTATATGGAAACAGAGGAGAAATTTACCTAATTATGTCTGTCTCTTAGGGGGAGCAATTTAGGTTGAAATCGCTCTAATTGTTGGATTATAGTCAGAAGTTTTTGGCAGCAAAGTAGAATACTTTAAAGTGATTTCTCCACACTTTGGGATACCACAGGTAAATAAGAGTCTTTCTACCTACTGTGTGGTGGGTTAGTGGCTAAGTATTCAGTAGATGAGGTAGGTTGTGTTTCTTCATGCCCTACAATGAAAAATCTGAGTTTAAATTCATATGAAATAATCTGTACACCAAACTTGTGACACACATTTACCTATATAACCTGCACATGTACCCATGGACCTAAAATAAAAGGTATGAAAAAAAAAGATATGGTACTCATCCTCAAAGGAGGTTATGTGTGATAGCTCTTTGCAATTTGATTCTGTAGTCATTGCTGAAAGCTTTTGCCAAAACTGAAAGGGGCTCTCTTTAGAATGGGAAGAGCCCTGCTATATCTGTGCCATCAACTGGCTTTGGCTGCTCTTTTAGAATAGTATAAATGACAGATGTTATGGTTTAATGGTTCATCTTTGGATGGAAGGGTTGCACTGCTAGGGAATTTGCATTTGCGAGTTGGTAAGATGAAGGGTGGAGTGAGGGGTATGAGCAAGTTGTCTTGGTTTGTGGCTATGTGGGTTGGCTCTTTGGTTGGTTTGTTTGAACTTGTACAAATGCCCAGACACTCTTTGACATGTGTGCAATAAATCAATGGAATAATAATTACATACACAGAGAGATACACCACATAGTTCTTAACATAACATTTTACTTTTTAAAATAGCTTCAAAGGACTCTAAGGCCAAGTTTCTTATTTTGCTACTTCCCTTGATGTTTCCTTCGTACCAGCTTACCCCATCCACCAACACATGAATTCCACAGCTGTAGAGAAAATAGTGAATTGGCATTCTATAGCACCTTGATTTTTCTGGATTTCAGTGAACAATTAACAACATATCCAGACATTGGGAAGGATTAAGGCCTAACATTTATTCTGTGATCTAAAGTAAAATGTTAAACAAAACACAGCATTTAGAAGTAGGAGATGTGTAGCTATGCCTCAGCCTCCCTATGCAATAACTGTGGTGTGGACAAGATGTGAACTTCTCTGAGCCTTCATGTCACAGTCTATGAAATGGTAGTCATTGTATCAGCCTGACACATGTATGTGAAAAGTGCTTTGATTATATAAGGGTTACAGCTATAACCATTGCAGTTATTATTATCATTACTGCTATTATGTTTATCAGGGATGTTTGGGCACGTCACACCTGAATACTTCACTTGTCATCTTCACATTTGTTCTGTGTTTCAGCTTTGTGAGTCTCCTTTGAATTTTTGGTATGTGCATTTATAGACCTCAGACTTTTATATTTCAATTGAATCATTTTTTTTGTGTGTTAGAACGATATAGAGAAATAAAAATGCTAGGAAAGTGACCATCTCTTTGGTTCCATCTCCAAATTTAAGAGATTTATTTCTAGTCGGGCATGGTGGCTCACACCTGTAATGCCAGCTCTTTGAGAGGGCAAGGCTGGCAGATTACTTAGGGTCAGGAGTTCGAGACCAGCCTGTCCAACATGGTGAAACTCATCTCTACTAATAATACCAAAATTAGCTGGACATGGTAGTATGCACCTGTAGTCCCAGCTATTCGGGAGGCTGAGGCACAAGAATCGCTTGAACCTGGGAGGTAAAGGTTGCAGTGAGCGTGAGCTGAGATCGTGCCACTGCATCAGCCTGAGTGACAGAGCAAGATTCCATCTCTCAAAAAAAAAGAGAGGTTTATTTCTGATTTCTGGCAAGTATACTTTTCTCCAACTCGGCGTGATTTGCAAACTGCCAGGCAGCTTTTTTGCATGTGTTTTCTAAGGTGTGTTATATGACAGTGGTACATAATACTAATATCTGTCCCAAATGAGACAGAGTATTCTATACTATTTGTCTAAGAGTAAACACTTGAGAATCTGTTAATTAACAAAGAATGTAGGGGTTTTGTGTTGATGCAGGCAAGGGGCTATATATGCAGATTGGGATAGTGGCAGCTGCAAAGCAAGGGTTCACAACTTCTAAAAAATATAACCAATACAGATGAGCAGCTTATGCAGTTAACCACCCCCTCAAAAAAAATTCACATGGACATATACATACAGATGTTCACATGCAGTAGTGTATATAATTCAGGTAGTTTATAGATGCTCTGGAGCATTTTCAAGAACTTCACATTAATTATCTTTGCTCTCTGGGCTTCATGCATTTTTTCATTTAATACATACTTTTTGAATGCTTACTGTGTGCCAGATATGGTTTCTGCTGTCATTGAGCGAGCATTCTTTTAGGTACATGGATATATGATAGAGAACTGATAAACTACCATAAACTCCCAGTGGTTTCATTATCATTGGTTACTAATAATTCCACACAGGATCTTAATCTGTCTTTTGCTGTTTAAAAGCAGGTAAGTAAAGGAAGAAGACACAAAGAAATAGATGTTTTGCCCCTTTGAAGACTAAATATGCAACTGTTGAAAGTGTCTATTTGTATCTCTTATAACTGAAGGCTAATATTGCTAA